ATATATATATATATATGTATATAAAGTTTGTTTGTTGTTAAGCACAATACTAAACAATGGGCTATCTGTGCTTTGCTCACCATGAGTAATAAAACTCAATTTTCAGTGCCAAAAGACCAAAGCTTTACTACTGACCATCAAAACAAGTCTCTATCAGTCCATTTATCCATTTTACTTGAGAAACATGGTCGTGAATAAACGATGTATTTGTGAAACATACAATTGTCTTAATTTTAATCAATTCTGTTTTTAAAATTCCAACCTGCATAGGTAAAACTTGGGAAAATAACAAACAAAGCTGTAAATCTATGATCTTAATATATCTATTTCTAGCTCAAATAATGTGAAAAAGAGAATCTCTTAAAATAGTGATGTAAAAAAAAAACTGTATAATCAAACTTAGGCCTAGAAAAAACAACAACTTTGTTTCTGGTTCCCTAACCAACCCTTTGTAAAAATGCCCAACCCTTAAGTCTTTTCAATGCTTTCCCTCCCAAAAAAAAAAAACGAATCTCCAGACCAACCCTAATGAAAAATGCTTTTCAATTAATTTTTTTATTATCATTATATTATTGCACCAATCTGCTACCATATCGTGCAAGGTAAAGATAAAAAGAAACCATGTCTCTGATTCGTTAGTTGATATGGTGTGTGAATGCTCACAGCCAATTATAGCTGAACTTCAATTCAAACATTTCATCATGATGGGTAGAATATTGGCTATCATCTTTAACAAATGCCCACATGTTTCCCTAAAAATGACAATGTCAAAGACGTATTTGAGTCATACCATCCTAAAGTAGATTCAAATGATTATGAGTAGACATCAACACATGTTGATCTGTGATCTGGACAAAGTTTCAATGGACATTGGGATAGACCAATTAGTAGACACATTCGGTGTCAAAACAATTGAATTTCACTGTATGCCTAAAGCAAAATGGCCCACAGAAGTTGAAAGTACCAGTAGAGTAAAAGATACTGTGACAAAATCCAATCAGCCCAATACTTCAATTACTTACCCTATGTTTGAGAATGTAAAAAAAAAGAAGAAATGCCTATCTTCCTACCCTATTTTTTGTCAGCAAATAATAAGAAACAAAACTCTTCTTTTTTCTAGGCCTCAGGGCAAACTTTGTTTTACAGCTTCCATGTTTCTAAAGCTAACCAAATCATAAACATAACATCTCAAAGCTGAAATTATTTTCTTCCTCACCATCTTTTTCACACAGAGCTCTCTTTCTTCCTTAAATATTGTAAACTTTAAAAACTTCAAACTTTTAGTTATTATGTTAGAGTGTTTTGTAATCATACTTCTTCAAATAATCTAACTATATCATAGTTTTGCATTTCTTTTTATGCTACAGAAACATAACAGACTAATTTTATTAGTTTGAACACTTGTTAGTTTTTTGGAAGTAATTAATTTGGCAGTTCTTTTTTTGTTTTATAAAAACTCCCATATGTAATTTGAAACTAATGGAATCTTACCAATGTCTCCACCATAGCATTAGCTTAGAGATCAGTGAGGATTCTTACAAAAGGATTACAGAGGGAACTTTTATAAATAAAATATAGTGAGAAAAATAGTATCTATATTACCAGTTTTAATGATATACAGGACATTTTATTGCAAAATTTAGCTCAACAAAGCAGTTTTGTGCACAAAATCATTGACCCTATGACTGGATTTTGTTAATGTATGTAAAATCTGGTTTTCAGGTCAAAAGTTATGAGCATGTTATGTTATGATTTTATATTATAATACATAGTAAATTTACTACAAAATATAGCTGAAGTTTAAAAACATTCAACTGTTTTAATGCTTTCAAATATATTTTCACTTGAGTTACTAATTTTCATAAATGCAAATGCAGAAGTGGCTGAAATGATGTCACTGGGTTAGAAAGCATTAAATTTAACATATGAACACTAAAATACAAACTTTAACATAAATCTCATTGACTACATTTGCTACATATCGAGAAATGGATATTGAACAATTTATGGAGTGGAAATACCTGTGGTTCTGTGGCTTGACTCTGGACACTAGCTACTGTGTTTGTGTGTCCAGCTAACGTATGGATGTTAGCTTTGGTTCTCATGTCCCAAACCTAAAAATTTTGATCCATTATTTGTTAATAAATACATATTAATAACTTTACATCAGGCAAAAAAAACAAACTATTTATAAATAAAAATTAGACTGTCATATAATTTCAAAAGAAATCATTCTTTAAAAACTAGTTTAATGTTTTTTATTAAGAAATAACATTTTTTACAACTTTATTATAAAATAATTTTGGATATTTCCATATACTGTTTCACTGTTGCAAATATGTTCAAATCTGATTTCAAATTAAAAAAACAACAACAAAAACCAATGGCATTCTTAACTCTACACTGCCATGGGTACATACATCTCTTATCACAGCAACATAGATGGGTCACATAATACTTGTTTTAGCATTGTAGGCTGTGCTATTAACAAAAAGTAAGTCTGGAATTTTGTACCACCAGGAAGAAAGGGTATTCCCCACCAAACTTACCAGTTAGGTAATATTAAAACATGTCCTTTTTTGTTTTTTTTATTGTGTACCCAAAATAAACCTATCATTCAGAGAAATTATCTTTAAATATGGCAGTGAAAGATTAAAAGAGATGTAAAGTGTGTACTACAGATTTATATAAGTACATCAATATTTTAAGTTTTGAAAAATTCCCATAACTGTGTGTGTGTGTGTGTTTAGTAAAAAAAAAGGGGTATTTACAAAGATAATATATATTAAATATTACTAAGGTAATAAACTTATTAATGCTTTCTGATCTAACTGGTGAATTTTCAACACCAAACTTTTGTATTGCTATTTACTGGACTCACCCTGTTTTAGTTAATTATTAGCTGTTAACTACAATGCTTTTAGTCTTGCTGTAAACTGTTTTAGCTTTATATTAGCTGTTAATTGTATGGCTGTTAGTCTTTGAGATAGAAAGAATACAAAACTAATAAAAACTTCATTAATCAAACACAACAATAACAAACTCACCCTTGCTACAGAATCTCTACCACCTGTGATAAGAACATCAATGGTTGGATGTAAGGCTAAAGCATACACACCACTCAAGTGACCATGATAGTGACGAATTACCTATACATTAAATGAACATTAATACACACCATAGCTAGTGTTTATTATATCCAGTGGAATAATGTGCTATCACTTAAAGAAAAAACTGCATGTTAATTTTCTTGAAATTCCTACTTTATTATTAGCATCTTGAAACTATTTTCACTACTTGACATGTACATATATTACCTTTAATACATTTAGAGAAGTGCTATAATTAGAAGATAACAATTAGTTGTGTCTTGATTGTTACTAAGGAAATAAATCTTTTACAGTAAATAACATGAAATCTCTAATAACGTAGTAACAAAACTTTACTTTTTCATCACAACTGTTGATGATATCAAAATCTATTTCACATTAAATATGATAAAATTGAGAAAATCACCTCTAAGATTTACAGTTTGTAATTCATCATTAGGTGTTTATTTCACTGAGTTTAAGTATAGTTCACCTTATTGTATTCTAAATCCCAACACTTCACTTGTTTGTCTTCACCACAAGAGAAAAGATATGGTTGCCGAGGGCTCACAGCCAGACCCCTGACCCCACTGATGTGGCCGGTTAAAGATAACTTTAACTTTCCACTAGCAAGATCCCATATCTAATAAAAGTTAAAAATACAGCATCAAGTTTTACCAGTGATGAATTAATTACAAGACTAATAACTTTTAGCATTGTATAATTTTATTTATATCAATTTTGGTGTAATTATTATGTCAAAAATCAGAATAGCTGTTACAATAACATTTAAAACTACCATAACCGACTCGAATCATGCTGAGGTAGAAGAAATTTGTGATTTTACTAAACTGAGCCTAATTTTTCATATTTCTTTGAATTACATATCATTTTTACAAACATTACAATTTAACTATATGTTAATGCTAACTAAGGGTGTGATAATGGCACACAATAATACCTTGATGATTCTGTCATTTGACCCTGTACAAAACCATTCATTTCCAGGTTCCACAGCTATACATCTCACCCAACCAAGATGGCCACTGATCACCTGAAAGAAGTTTGAAAATCTAACATGCAAGTATACAAGTTGACTTTGTTATGATATACTTACAATGAGCAACAGATGAACCAAAATGTTTCTTTACTACAAACAGTGCTCCAGATAAATTGTGTATCTGCATAAATATGCATTCTTTTTTTTTTTTACATAAATAATTGCATTTTAAATAAAAACTGAGCATATCAAATACACACAGTATTTGTTGTGTAATCCCCAGATCAAAAGAAGAAAACAAACAGAATAAGTTATACAGTGATTAGCTGATCATTATCCATAGTTAGGATATACTGTTGAACTGAAGTTTATAGTGGCCTAATTTTATTGATTGATGGCAACAAAGTACTTACTATATTACAATTTACAGTTTTTACAGAAAGTAAGATTTCTTTTTAGAACAAGACTAAGATGATAGGAAAGTTTGATGTGAGGCATCATATGAACAAAACTCAATTGCTGCTGTAGTTTGAACTTATAGTTTTGTTTTGAGTTTATTTACGGTTTAAGTATATTTTCTACAACTTACAGCTTTTATAGTAAGTAAGATTTATTTTTAGAACAGGTATTCTACAAGCAATAAATTGTAAAAAAAAAAAAGCTTAATCAGTAAGTAAACCCAAACTGAAACTAAAGTACTTACTGTATTGATTTTACAATGTAATTACTTCTGGTAGTTTTTAATATGATGTTCATATATAAACAAAAGAAGCATGTGCCTAGTAAACACAGTAAAATAGTTCTAAAATGTCAGTTACTGGATGAAGAAAAAGTCAATGACCTGAACATACACAAGTTTACAACACTGAGGTTTCATTTTCAACATTGCAGTTTATTTTAAGGGGTAAAATACTCGTTATATCAAAAGGTAATCCAGGACACTGATAAAGAATATTCCCTCTTTGCTCAAGGAAAAACTACTTAAGCCACTACATCATCCAATCTTTGGTCTTTAGATCATTTCTTTGTTTTATATTATAACTACGACAGATACAAAAACAAAAATTTGTATTTTATTTTTCGGACATATAGATATATATATTTCAGGTAGCGGCTCCCAGAAAGGAGGCCAAAGGCCACGTGGAAAGATCACCTGTTTTAACAACCAAGCCCTTTAAAGAAAAGTAGTAGTATAAAAATCCTAAATTAAAACACAATAGCTTAATTGTATTTTTTTTATACAAAGTTAATTTTATACTCTGTAAAGTTTCCATGGAGGATGCCACTGAGGTTTGGGCATTGTAGGAGCTTTTCTTGATATTGCTTGCTGCTGTGTTCCAGCCAATACCAGTGCCTAAAATAAAATACATTATAGGGTTGAATACCAGTACATACAAACTGAATATAAATAAAATTTAATAATCAATTTGAGTACACCTTGTATGGGTGTATTGAGAGGATAAAAGAAGATAAAACTTTTTTTTTATTACATCCACATTGAAGTGTATAATTAGTTTACTGTTCTAGCAAAGATAAAAAAAATGTTTTGTTAAAACTAAGAATTAGTTGGTAGATCACGATTATTTAATTCCTTACCCTAGTAGCATCTCGCCAATGTTTTCACCAGTACATAAACTGTTAAAAGCCAACATCTAATAAAATAATTCTTAAGTAGGCTTAAAGCATAATACTGCATATCAATATTTAAAAATAAACTAATGTCTTAAAATAAATATCAGCTTCAAAATGAATGATTCTTTTGTTTACACAAATTTAAAAGGCTTAATCTACACTAATATTTAAAATTTTACAAGTAATCTATAATATAAAAAAGTAAAACAATGTTAATTTTTCATATAGATTCATTTCTTTGATAAATCGCAAACTGTGCTTTATCAATATTTTACACAGGACCAAAAACTACACCTTAATCAACAAGAAGTGGAAGTATTGGTCTTAGATGATGTTTTTTACAGAAAAAAAACAACATTGAACTAATAATTAGGTATGTAAATAAATAGCAATTGGAATTATACTTATTTGCTTGAAGTAACTAATAAGAATTAGAAATCTCAAAGAACTTGTAATAAAACTATACAGTATTTCATTTTTCATCTAATGTTACGTAGGAATTCATTCTGTAAATGTGCAATGTATAATCTATATGACAACTTGAAGTAACTCTTAGTATCTTATACATAAATATTAAAAGTACAGTGTTCATATTAATGCAAGTTTTACAAATAAATGCACAAGCTTTAATATCAAAAATAAATAAAATCGCTTTATAATACATCCTCAGGATGCACACTAAAATAAGTTTCATGTTTTTCTTTACATCCGATTCACTATCATATGGTTTTCAAAACTGATAAATTCATTCCTGTGGTGTTGTGAGTGGAAGTATTTTGTCCCTTTTTAAAGAACTTACATGGGACAATTTGACTTGGATGCATCATCATCTATCTTTAAATTTGTGTGATGTCCAAAAAAGGAGGATGTCGTAGCAGGAAAAGTAAGGAAAACATCATGGGCAAACCAACATAGTGTACAAAACATCGAAAGATTACTATAGTTAGTGAGTACTAACACAAAATCATAATGTTTTTTATGGTTTGTGTAAAAATAAAAGGGGACCCCATTTTCTCCAAACGACTGAGTGTAGAGGACTCAAAAGATTAAAGCTGATGCAAACACTGAGGTGAAAAAAATTCCAGTGAATGACAGATGTATCTTGTATTAAGTTACACAGCACATTTTTAATATGTTAAAAACGTTTCAAGTACAACACTTAACTATATAAAAATTTCAATTCAAATTATTTTGAGGCATTACAAATTACCACCAGGTGGACAATAGAAAAGAAAACATCATGTCTTCTAGAATACTGTAATTTACCAGAGAAGCCATTGTTAAATAAAATGAATTAAAAATACAAATCACCTGTGAAAGTTTTTGTCCACTTGATGTATAGTAATCATCAATGATAGGAGGTTGTGTAATCTCACCATAATTTGATTGTATATGTTGGTCTGTTTCATTTCTTGAGTCCTGACCACTTTCCAAATAATTTTCAAAGTAGTTGCTTTCACCTGAGCATTGAAAATAATTACTAAGTTCTCGTTAACAAAGGCATAAAACTTTAAGTTACTTAATTCTTTAAAGGATTCTATTTGCAAACTGACAACTTATTTATTAGTCCTCCAACAAATATATTAAGCTATGATTAAATCAACCTTTTATAATATGAAATCTACCAAAAGAATAATTTCAAAATATAACATTTTCAATAAATATTTTCATTAAAAAAGACAAGTACAAGATTTTTGTATAGAATTTGTATTTCTTTATTATTAGGGAATAATCAAGTCATTGATTTGTTTGCTTCATTCACCCTATAAAAAAAACAAGCCAGGGCAAGTAAAAAGAGAAACAAAGCAAAAACAACAATAAAATGAAGCATAAAAGTCAACAAAATATAAAAAGTATAGATTATAACACAATAACTTCATCTAAAATTTGTTACAAAATGATAATTTAATTTATTGTAAACTTGTTCAGTATTCTTTAAGAATTGTGACAATGTAATAGTAAGGCAGTATTTTTTTTTATTTTCTTATACTTTACTATATCAATTTATTTGGAATATTTTATGTTTCAACTATGTTTTGTTCAAAAGTTTATTCTGTCCAATATCTTATAATTACATGTACAACCCTTTTAATAATGTTTCTGAACATCAAGCAGAAAAATAACATTGCCCTGTTGAAGTGACATATTCTAATTTGTACACCTTGTTTTTCTACAATTTGAGATATTCTATCTTACTGAACAATAACTCAATTCACAAATCAATAATTTAAAAATTAACTGTCCTTAGCAAATTTACTTTTCAATTATATCTATGCAATACCATCCCATTAATTAAAAGCCTACATATCAATAGGAATTCTGCTAAAAAATTATCCTAACAATGAGATAATTTGTACCGTGTAAGTTTTTTTTATCATTACAAGTGATTTGGGACTTTTATTACCTTGTGTAAAAAAACAAACAAACTGGAGCAAGAAAATCATTCAGAAATTTATACAAATTAGGTTCCTAGTTCATTTTGGGGAACAAGGGGGCATCAATGTTTATTTTTATATGTAGTCCCTTATCACAAGTTTCCAAAAGAGAAAGAATGCTCCAATTATCATTAATTTTCAGTGGTAAGAGAAGATAAAACCCAGATAGGTTTTTTATTAATTTTACTTGATAGTCACCAGACAATCTTATTCACCAAGGCAAACTCTTGATAAAAATATGGGTGAAAAAATAATTTTTTGTCAATCTCTATCTAATGAGCAGTTTATAAATCTCATAAATAAGTAGGCCCAAATTGTGTAAAATTAACCAAACTACATTTCCAGAGACAAGATTTTTCTAAAATTGTTCAATGCATCATGTTTTTTTTTATACACTGTACTTATAGATACAGATATATTTTTGTGAAGCCAAAATTTTATCATACATCACAGTTTGTTAAAATGGTATACAACACCCAGAAATATCAAAGTTTATAGTAATATCTTCCTTACCCCCATTTTCAATTTCTCCTCTTTGGTCAGAGACACTGCGTCTGAATTCTTTGTCAGGATTATTTCTAATGAGGTGCATCACTGGTTTGTATTCATCTGCTGCTTTTACCATCAGTTTGATCTTTTCACTGTAATGTTACATAAATAATTACAAGTAAACTATAGGTAATCTGTTGAGTTGTGGTGTAACTGTCATTATCTTATGCTTTACAAAAGGGAAAGAGATTAGTGGTTTTGTCATAATTGAAACTGCCCTTAAATATAATCATAGTTATAGTATTTTGACACTTTTGTATAAAGTTAAAATCATAAATAATATTCAACATTAAACTGGTACACAATTAAAAACATTTTATTTAGGCCTATCTATGCCTTCAAAAAGTTGACGACTCTACATGTTTCAACGTTACACCAGTTTAACGTAGAATATTATTTATGATTTTGCCCTTATATAATATATTTTACTTAAGGTGGTGTTTGTTTAGTTTATGAGAGTGAATTGACATACAAACTGTAACACATGTAAAGTTTTATCTGGACAACATTTATACGTTTTTACAGTTTATTTCTACAAATAAGATGGCTAAAACGTTTCATTCTTTTTCAGCATCTATGCTCACCTTATAGTTTGAATGAACACTTAATACTATATAATATTGTTTAAAGGAAATCATAATATATTTCTTGTTCTTTTAACAAAACAATATTGTTGATAATTTTTCCCATGACACAGAGGGAAAAATAAGGTTTACCAATTTCTTTTGTTCACTCTGCAAGTGCAAAATGCCAAAGAGATTAAAAGGATTAAGAGGATGTAAAGTAGAAAAAATTATGAAATTAAAGTTGCTTCCAATTAATTAAAGTGGCAAAAACTATTATTATATGCAAGTTTATGTACTGTAATCTATTGCACTGTATTAATTTTTATACTCTCAAGTTTGCTGTTTTGAAGAAGTTTAAATGGTTTTACTCCAATTTATGAATGAGCAGGGTAATATAATGATGTATGATTTACTAAGATCACACTTCCACCTAATGAATTAGTCTAAGCTAAGCAACAATGCATGCCACACCATCAGGAGAACTATTTTTCAAGAATGTGTATTTAAAACTATCAGATGAATAATTCTGATGAAGATCAAGTTTTAATTGGATTCCCAAAGATTGTACTTATTTCTAACAATTTATTTTACCATCACACCCATCACACAGATTATGCAAATAGTTTTTAACACCTGAATTAAGTAATGTCTTGTTCTCCCAAGTTTAAATTTTTAAACCAGATATCATTCCAGTAGACATCTCTGGAATGTTTTCCAATATTTGTTGTTTTCTAAGAGTAATATTGGTTACATAACTGCATACAGAATATTAATTCTGCAATTTATTTTATATATATTTAGTTGACTATAGGAATTTGCCAGGAAAAGCAAAATATTGTTGAAAATCTTTTTTTAATGCAAAGCTGCCGAAACACTAATTTAAATAGTGCATGAAATCAAAATATGATATCAAAGTTTTCAAGAAAGTAAGCTAATAAATGAAATATTTATTTCAATCTTGCATCTTTCATGCACTAGGTTTAAAGTAAACTCAATTTAAGTTAATAACAGTCTAATGATCAACGTGTACTACCAGATGTAATATTTGTAGGCCAAAGAATTTAAAATAAAAGTATCTTGCTGATTATTTTAAACTCTGACACAGTACTCTAAAATAAGGCCTCACCAATTCTTTCACAAAGTTAAATTAGCTATATTACTTTTAAATTAAAAATTCCTATCACTAATTCTCCATATTTTACTTCATTTTTTATTTTCTCCAGGGTTAAACAATAAGCTGAAAATTACAGAGATTTGTCAGAAATTAAACCAAAGTATTTTCTTTTTCAATGTTCCTCTCACAAATGAAGACCTTTTCAAATTTATATGGCTCATCAAGATCACCCCCTCATCCAAAAAGTAAAATAAAATAATAGTAAATTTTGAACATAGTCTACCAAATCCAAGTATTTACCAAACAAAATTATAAAAGGATTAAAAGTAACTGTACATACTATGTCTTCATCCACACTATTCCTCAAGCTTACAAAACCTACTACAGTGCCCTTATTAAAATTAATACAGAAGATCCATCAAAAACCATCAAAAGTTAGTGATTCTTATGACTCAAAATAAAAAAGAATGTATAACATACACCAAACATACTATATTTACTGTATTCAGTGCTAAGAGACCTTTTGCCCAAATCAAGAGCTCATTAGGCCAGCTGGAATATAACAAATATAGTAGTGGCTGAGATGCTATTTATATTATTAAATTGCATGAACAGTAACTGTTGTGTTGTGAACTAGATAAAGCTGGTACAGTGTAAATGTAATAAATTTTGAGTAATTTATAAATCAGAATAAGGATAAGTATTAAGATTATTATTATTTATTAATTTTAACACCAATTTATTTACATTTATTTTTCTTTTAATTAACTTTACACACCATTTAGAAGAACTGGCAAACCAACATAGAATATTTTTTATAAAAGTATTTTTGAGGTTTTATATGCGAGCTTTGGCAACAGATTACAACACTTTACTAACAATAAAGTTTAACTAATAGGCAAGTCTTCCTTCAATCCATTCTAGTTAAGAATATAGATTACATTTTTTATCCTTTAACAATTAAGAATCTTCTCAATCTTAATAACTGCTAAAAGATAATAGCTCAAAGCCCTTGCTATTTCCTTGTCTATCATTTTCAAAGTTTAGGACATAAACTTTCAGAATAAAGAGATTTATTTAAAAGAATTTTCCCTGTTTTCAAAATGAGAGTTACAAAATCGTGCTATGGTTTTCCTGATAATCTAGTTTGTTCTGTTATTTTAAACTTTATATTTCTGTTTGATAGGTATATAGGGGTAAATGTTTACATAAGAAAAATATAGGTATATTACAATTGTTTTTCTTTTGTAATAGAGATACGAGAAAAAAGAAAAAATACAGGCTACCAGAGCATGCAAGTTGACAGACATTCCACACATTCACCTGTATTAAAATAACGGCCCAAGTATGTTACCTGAAACTATTCATGCATACCAGTATATGAGAGAAATAAAATATTCTGGAATGAAAACTCGAAGTTGTGAACCAATATTGAAAGCTATGTCACTTACAGTATTAAGAAAGAACTATAAAAGGAAATGGAAACTGAATATTTGCTACGGAAGACACTAAAACTAATATATGAATAACAGCACTTATTATTAGTATGCATATTGAATATACAATTGAATGCATACAAATACAGTGTGCAAAGCACTTAGTTTTGGTTTACAAAAGAAAGTCTCTATGCAAACCATACATAAAACAAATGTAACTCATGTTATTTGCCATAATCTATGTAATTACTACCATGAAAATATTCAACTAGAAATCAGAAACTAACAAATTAATCACAAGAATTTGATAAAGAAGGCACATGCCATTTCTCATTTGATTGAATACTGGAGAATATTATGTTGTGTTTTGATTTGTAGTTCATGTATGTTTTTGTTGACTTTCTATTCAGTGTACTTAACTTACAAAGAGCATCAAAGACATTTTGATGTGTAAACTTCCTTGGAGATTCCTAGGAATAGCAAAACAATATATAACATAAACAGATATCCATGATTTTATTATGATATTATAAATAACATGTAACTTGTACTTATAATAGTAGTCCTGTATTGTTATTCATATATCCAGACTTGTCATTGAACATGGCATGTGAAATATGGTAGTATCAGTTTAACATTCTGTTATGAAGTTTATTGATACCTGTTATTAGTGTATGTATATATTTTCACATGTGTAACTCAATCTCAAATATCTTGTGTTGTGGCATTAACCACTATATTCTACAGAGCACATATGTTGTTCTGTATATTTTTAACTTATCATCATTCCATATTTATCCTACTGGGTGATTTTTGAAAGTGGGCAGATAATGGTTCCGGATCCTACTTTAACTTCTACCTAATAAAGATACATTAATATTAACTTATGATCAGAATAAACTACTTCAACGTAACTAAGATCAAATTTAAATATCAACTCATGTTAATCATTTAATAGGTAATGGTATATTTGAATGTTTTCCCATTATCAAATTCATTAAGACTCTAATAAGTTCTTTCATCAGTTATGTACTCCTATAGACTTCACGATATTCACTTAGGTTGATACAAAAGCATAAGGAACATATATAGAAAATCTATTGTGTACCTACGTTCCCAATGGTTTGCAAAATTATACATGTTACCAAAATAAATATATATATCATCATTATAGTGGTTGGATTATCAAAGTTAAGGATGAAACTTGAGTGGTAACGATAGGTTGCCAAATATATTGAGTCACAAAGAAATGGTGTAATAGTCTTGAAAACAACTTCAAATTTCAATTATCAAACATTCACTGATAGTCTTAAAATAGACTATAGTTCTGAAATTGCTACTTGTAACTGGTGTTCAATGTTCTATAATGTCAATAAGATTTTGTTTGAGATGACAGTTATGAATTGTGTTTCAGGGCATGTCACAATTTATACATGATTAAGTTGTGGCTCACTCAGATGTGGCAGTTTATCTCTTGCATTCATATGTCATTAGTCTGAAGGTATTTATAATCTCACCTAATTATACATACACTTACATTTATATATATAGTATCATTTTGACATTCTCATTAGTATCTCTAAAGCAAACAATGCATCCAATATCATTCTTTATAAGCCCCAACATTTCAGTAACACACCTTGTACCTTAAGAATAAATGCTAAGCATTGTCTTGCTGCCATCCTGATAAATAGTTAATATTGTGTATACACTTACCAGTCATTCTGATGTAAAAGTTTTCCTCCCACATATTATCTATATTCCAATAGCTACTAGAGATGATAATATACCTTGAAGTTAGGGAAGGTTGTTATATCTAAAACAAATAGTGCCACAAACTATACACATTGAACAAATTAACCTTGATTACAGTACACTACAAGAAGCCATAAGTACATATATTGTTATGTCACAAGCATCTGACATCTTGCAACAATATATCATAAACAACAGATTTCAAACTTAGACAGACTATGAACTGCAGCTTCTAACAAATATTGTTTATAACCAATATCAACCCCAAATTTTCACCTGAAAGTAGCTATGTGTCCAAAAACATAATGTACACTTTTGTTGTTTTTAATTTATTTGGATTGTTTTGTTAATGTAATATCAATGATTTTCATATATACCTGTGCTGATGAGCTAAATTTTATCTCCATCTAGGTACTTATTTACTTTACTCTAATTGGCCCTAGTGTTGCCACTATTTCATTTAAACAGATGCTTCAATTCCATTCACTCGTGGGCCATCGGCAGAGGAATGGGAAGAGACCTCATAACAATATTCTGACAGTAATTTATTAATTTCTTGCAATATGTATAGACTGAACTGTGGGCAGGAACATAATCATACAATTATGGTCTTTGGATTGAGAACTAAGTACGACAGGTGAGGTACACGTATCCTTTGTTTTCAATGTATGTATATCTTAGAAATTGTTGGTTTTCATGTGATACGTTTTTCCTGCTTGTACAGCAACATCTGTTGTATGGTCACTATCGGCTTGAAGTCTTCTGTCACACTGTATTTATGTTCCTAAGTCCTAAAACAAATTTAAGTATCTTAAAAAAGGAATTAGATAAAAGTATCTGTTATTCTCATTGTGAAGTATTTTGCAATGCAAGCATTGCTGGTTTTATGAAGCTACTTTATAGATTCTTTAACAAGCAAAACATGGCTTAAATACCATAGTCCTTACCTGGTTTCATCAGGTGGTGGAGGATTAGCTTGGTCTGACAGAAACATATCATGAGTCCTCTTCAATGAACGAAAGACCAGTGTATGTACGGAATGCTTTTGAACCTCCTGCACATGTATCACAATAAATGAATGAAAAATATATAGATTAATATATAAACAGCATTTTAAGTAATAACATTTTATGAAAACATGTTTTTACAAATTTTACTATACACTAACCTATAATGAAAAAAACTAATTTGTATTAGTATTAGTGTTTGTTAAATATACATACAAAAATATTGCACAAGTTAAAGTAAAAATGCTTTTAGAATTAAATATCACGGCAGATTCAATTTTCTTTTGAAACTACTGTTTATTCTCGTTTAGAATATGAAACAATTAAAACTATGCAGTTTTTTTTATATTGACACTTCTACTTTTCCAAGATTAAATGTAAACTAAACATGCATTTTACATTTTTATTGATGCATTTTTACTTTTAAAGATTATATAAAGAATAAAGTATATAAATTGACGACGGCGTAAAAGAAACTCTTCCGTAAGTAATCTGATAAATAATAACACGGTGCATAAGAGCTGTAGCTAACAGTTACTAAAAGCATGTATTACTATTAGTAGGCCTAAGTTACGATTAGTATTTGTTTGACCATTTCTAGTTCAACGACGAAACAAACATGCTCAACTATTCCACGACTTACAATTTGATAAAGTACTTAAGTTTATCATCAAAAGATCGATATATTTTAATTTTCAGTTACCAAACTTCAAGTAATTACCTCCATATTTTTCACTGTTTCACTTTGAGTTTAAATAACCATCACTAATCCATTTGACGAATGTAGTAAACCTATCGTCGAAGTCTCCCTTCACAACTACTAAATCTTACAATAACACTAAATACACAGTCTTTCTTTCAACCGTATTCCACTAGTGATAAGAAGGTGTACTTTTATTTGCGAAAATAAAAGGCTTTTAACAAGAATAGTTAGAAACTTAGTAAGAAACTCCTAAGTACTGTATGGTCAAATTATTTCATTACTGTACGAAATAAAGACACCGCCATTTATAACTTAATGGTGGTATTCCAGAGATTCATCTCATCAAGATATTATTATTCTTTAATTTGATATTTTGCTAGAATTTTCCTGGATATTTAGAGAAAAGTATTTTAAAAATAGCTGTATATTTGTAGTCATCAGCAGAGACGAATCAACTATCACGCACAATTATTATATTGTATTGGTGTACGTTACTGCTTCACTTGTCACGCTTTAAAGAACAAAAATTTACCAAAAGATAATGTTTCGTTGGGTTTGTTTTTGAGCAAAGCCGCGTTGGGCTATCTACTATGTCCACCGTTGGTAATTGAGTCTCGGATTTTAGCGTTGTAAGTCCTCCCTGTGGACGTTTTAATATCTCTTTAAAAAATACAGCAACAGCTCTTTGACCACCTCAGCTTGTTAAAGCTCCTCGGTGAATCACCGGTACGTCTGAGGGCTTATAACGCTATAAGTAGGGTTTCGATACCCAAAATGGGCACAGCACAGGTAGACCATTGCGTGGCTTTATTTTAATAACAAACAAACAAAAAACTTATAAAGTTAAATTATAGAATACTTTCTTGTTGTTATTATTACTTTTTAATTATTAAAAACTATGTTACGACAACGGAAGTCACGTGACTCTGGTAACACATAATGAGTGTCTAGAAGGTTCCTGAAGGCTCGAGACGCCCTCTATTTTGTATATATAAGACTGGCAAATAAAGCGGGAGGGATAATTGCAGACAGATAAAGACGGACAATTGAGTCAAGCGCGGTAGAAAGTAAAGTGCGTGAATAGATCGTTGTGAATCTAGCGTGTGTTTAAGTGGAAGTGACTGTGGAAATTAAGTGTATTGCAAAGTTGAATTGAGAAAGAATAAACTAGTTTTATTTAAGAAAATACTTGTATCGCTGAAGTTTCTCGGAAAGAAATTATACGGGAAATTAACAAACGACCAGAGACGTAACAAATTGGTGTCAGAGAGTGGGACTGAAAAAAAAAGAAAAAGAAGATGGAAACGAGAAGTGGCAAATCAAACTACAGCTTAGCAGATTTAATGGCAGCAATACAAGAACGAGAAAAGAAACAAGAAGAGAGATAACAGCAGTTGTTGGAGGAAAAAGAAAAGAAACAAGAAGAGAGATTACAGCCGTTGTTGGAGGAAAAGAAAAGAAACAAGAAAAGAGATTACAGCAGTGGCAAGAAAACCTGCAACAATGGCAGCTCGAACAGCAAAATAAACAAGAGAGATTACAGCAGTTGTTGGAGGAAAAAGAAAAGAAACAAGAAGAACAAGAAAAGAAACAAGAAGAGAGAGACTACAGCAGTGGTTGGAGGAGAAAGAAAATGAAGAAAAAGAGAGACTACAGCAGTGGATGGAAGAGAAAGAAAATAAACAAGAAGAAAGTCTCCAACAATTGAGAGAAAGCCAGAGTACACAAATGGAAAACATTAGTAAATTTCAAACCGAATTAAACACATTAAAGAATGATTTACTGTCCGTTACACAATGAGGATATATTAGCCATCGACTTAACCAGCCCCAGACAATGACAAACCCCTTCCAGACTCTGCAGCTAAACCCTAATGCAGACATCTTCAGTCCTG